ACATGCTCTGCCAGAGTTGAATTCTCAATAGATACAGTTAGAGAGTACTCCAGCAAACAAAGACCGTTTACCATGGGAAACTGTAATGGCACAGCAGTACACATGCTGGGTCTATGGTGCTGAGAGGATCCCAATAGGAACACTTGTTTTACCATTCAAGTAATTAATTCAACAGTTTTTAAGTGTTTACTTCACAAATTTCAGTCTTTAATGTGTGAATATGGTCATTTTATGTTTTACTACGTGTTTTATGTATCCACTGTGGCTGTGATGTTCAGAGGTTTTTGTTTTATGCGAACTCACCAAAACACTTTTAATTCCAAAGAAATGGCAATGAAATATCAAACATTTTGAATCTCTCAGACCCTGATATGGGTCCAAAAACACAGAAATCTACATTTTTTATAACTCATTAGTGTCATTTATTAGACCCTCTCCTTGTCTGGTGAATGTCCATATAACTCCACATTTCCAGGCTCTCTCTTTAACAATTTCTCACCAAGCCGAGATACTCAAGTGATGTCACTTCAGTAATTTTCTTAGGCTTTAGAAAGCACTTTGAGAGCAATAGAAAACATTGTACAACAGTTTTCACAGGACGTGCAGTAATCCTGATGACTATTAAATTGACTTTAATGTGTAAAATTGGTGGAGTGCCCCTTTAATCCATCTCTAATGGATCTACAAATAATGCAAAATATCAGAGCACCATCGCACTTTCATTGCAATCTGTTTCAATGACTTTAAATATCCCTGAATGATCTCATGTCACAGTTAAAAGGTTCAAAGCTTTCAAATGGAACGAGAAAAAAAAAACTATGTATATAATGACAAATAATTACATGTATCTATACTAGAAATAATCATTAAAATCCCAACAGCAGTGCAGCATGAAGCTTGTTCTGTTATCAGATGCTCTGATGGATCAGCCTGCTGACTATACCCCTGGAAGGTCCATTAACACCTCCAGAGGGTAGAGCCCAGCCCCCTCCATAAACAGCCCAGCCGGAGGTCCATCCTAATGGGCTGAGCTCATTCCCAGCCTGGCCTGCTCCAGGTGTGGAAGACGAGCCCTATAATTGATAATTAGGGGGCAATAACCCAGCATTCAATGCAGGCCTCACGACAGGAGAGTAGCCAGGCCCTACACTGTCACTCAGTCAGAGAGCGGGGGAAATTAGAGGATTGAGGAGGAGGAGGAGGAGGGGGAGAGGAG